GGGAGGACGGGGATGAAAAGAGCGGGGCTCCGTTTACGCCTTCAACGCAGGTTAGGGCCTACTTGAAACTCGCAACATGTATAAAGTACTGCGAAAAAGCCAGGAGAAATGTCAGAAAAGTGTCTCAAGCTTTCAAAAGTTTGTCTTTCTGCTAGCTGCAGTGATGTCAACAGTGTTTCGTGTTTGTTGTTTTCAGCAACTCAGCCTGATCGTTGTAGGAACAGGGTTTCTATTTTCGTTCGTGTTTCACTGGGGCACCGTTGAACCTGCGTCTTCAGTAGGGACTCGCAGAGAGGAGCAGGAGCAAGGTAAGCTAGTAAAAATTAAAAATAAATCAATATAAAAAAAGCTTTACTTCTGATATATAAATTTCCTCGGTAAGAATTTTGGTCTGGCTACATGTAGCGTGTAAAGTAGTTCGATTTTGTATAATTTGATAACTTCCATATTTTATGTGCTCTGGCCCTTGGGCATTTTCAACGAATTTTGAACTTTTTAATCTGCCCAAATTTTATTGATAATCACTGCGAAAGTTTTCGTTCTCTTCAGTGACAAGCAAGCAGATGAGGTCGCAAACTTTTAGCTCATAATTTGTCCCTGATCGATCAGCTCTTCTTCACGCGACTGTTGATTTTTATGTTTTTCTTTTCACTGTTTCCATATGCCTATCGTTAGTCCTTTTCTCCATCTTTTTACTGGGCTAGTCTCTCTAACTTGAACCAGCTACATCAGAATTAATTTTGAAATTTCTTTTTCTTTCCCAGAATCAATGGACGAGCAGTCTTCTGAACAAAGTCTCTGTGTTGACATAGTGGAAAGAGAAGCAGTGCTACACAAAGCCAAAACATGGCGGCAGTGGTTCAAAGATCCTCGTTTTTACGCGGTAAAATGAAGTTTCTGCTCTGCTATTTTGCGCTTTTGTCGTCTTTGAATTGTTTTCATTTTATTTATTTATATATTCTGATAAGAAAACATTTCGATTTACAATTGCTTACGAGCGAGATGAAAACTTTCGCACGAACTGAGTCCGCCTATGTATTTAGTTTGATTTTTCTTTCACGAATGAAAAGCATTTGTGGAGTAATCAGTCCAGTTTATTCATTATTTATTTGTTTATTTATCTATCTGTTTACTTTTTTCTTTCAGATGGGTGTTGTTTACACGTGTACACGTATCACAGTAAATGTTTCCCAATCGTATTTTCCATTTTATCTGACGGAGACGCTTCACTTTCAGAAGGTGAGATGAACAGAACATTCCAACTCCTTTTTTTCAGTTTGAATCTGTAGACTCAGGAAATATGAACCAGAGTAGTACTTTACCGTTTGAGTCACAAAGACCGCAAATACCGCCATATGTTTGAGATGGCTTAGCTTTTATTGAACGAAAATTCATATGTAATAATTGTAAATGATAACAGAAGAATTCGCTAGCTTACCTACTGCTAAATACGTTTTTCCACCACAAATGTAGAAATGATATTACTGCATTTTCATCCGTTTTCGTAGCATATGCTCAACGATTAAAAAAACTCGTCAAACTTGATTTCCCATCTCTAGTCTCAGTTTTTAACACAACCCTTTCTAATTAATACTTTCTATGTTTTCTTTATCCTCGTCACAGGAGGCCATTGCATATTTCCCCCTAGTCATACTGATCAGCGGTGCTTTTGCAAGTGTCATTGTCAAGAAAATCAGCAAGAGCCTGGGTACCAAGGTAAAGTCACTCGCACCCTCGTTTAATGCAGACGCTTTCTGTGGACATACATAAAGCTTGGGTCTTATAAGCTTCAATACACGAAATCCGGGAATACTGAGAAAAAAAACATTCTTGTTCTGTGTCGAAACTGGTAGGGAGCAGGGATGGCACAGTGTTGAGAGCGCTCGCCTCTCAGTAATGTGGCCCGGGTTCGATTCTGGCCCGGTGCCATATATATGTGGGTTGAGTTTGTTGTTGTTTCTCGCCTTACTCCGAGGGTTTTCTCCGGGTTCTCCGGTTTTCCTCCCTCCACAAAAACTAACATCTCCAAATTCCAATTCGACTAGGAGAGAGCGTCCGCATGAAAACCAGCTTGGGCTGATATGGCTTCCTCTCTAAATACTGTAATTTAGTAGGCTTTTCATTTTGTTCTCCCTGTGCTAAGGAGAAGCTAGTTATTGAGCTAAGTGCTAAATATCTATCTCTTTATTATGTTTTCAGTGGACCTTTTGTATAGCCTGCATAGTTGTCCTTGGTGCATGCGCGTGGTTCTATGTTCAGACTGTTTCTGGTCGTGATGGTGTGTACGCGGCCGCGTTCATTATGGGCTGCGGTAATTCTGTCATGCTCGTGACTGTGTTGTCCATGACCGCTGACATGATTGGAATCGACAAGGTAAGACAAACAATGACAATACACTTGGTGCATTGCAGTGAATAAGTATAATGCCTGTGTTTCCCTTTGAAATCTGAAGGAGAA